TTTTGCAATGGAAATTTTTCATATAAATGAATGCGATTAATAAACGGCAGTTATAATGTTGCTCATTTTCCAGCAATGAATGCATATTGTGATTGCCTTTTTATCTTTACACTTTAATAAAAGACATTGAACTATTTGAATTACTGGTATACGAGTTCCAAATGCATGCTCTTCAATTAGCGTACACAAGAAAACTCACATCAGCTACTGCCTTTACACACCCTAACTTACTCCTCACTATTGCGTCAGGGAAAAAAAAAATCAATGCAACTTAGGATCCGTTTAGGAAAACGTTCGGCGTCGCATCCCAAAGCTCAACACGCAGTCATCTTCATTAAAACAGCTGAATGCACGCTCTCGCTCACCTATTGCGGCCTTTGATTTTGAAATCCGAGGATGAATGCAATGCAACACCTTTGTTGAATTCCAATATACCAAAAGAACTAAAGATTTATATTTGTTTAGAGGATAAACATTTCTGTGAAAGTGCGAATGGAGCCCTTTTAACAAATCGCGATCCAATCGAAAGAAATGCATGAAGTGGCCAAACACAAATACGCCCTATAAAGCTTACTTACAGAAGTGAGCAATGGCATTGCTCTCAAACAGACAGAAGCCATCATCACCCTGGTAAGCAGGAACCTAAATGGACAAAAACAACATTAATAAATTCCATCTACATACAGAACACATGCATTAAAAAAAAGGCATGAGAATACTGACCTTGCCCAAGGGAAAGTTGCTGAGGAAAGCAGGGGATCGGTTCGTCTGCCCAAAGGTGAAGGCAGGGGAGGTGCTGGCAATCTTCAGACGAGCCCCACTGTACTGGGCAGCGATCTGAGCCTTAAAGGCCCTCCAGTTCTCTGGGTATGTGTAGAGAGTCTGCAGAAACACAAGGTTTGAGATCACATTGCTGAAACTGATGCTGCTCGTTCAGACTCAGTCATCTGTAACACAAACTCAGTGCCAACAGAAGCGGTCCCTTCATTATGAGCACTCACAGAGCGTTACACAGCACTTCAGGCGGACACAGCTGAGTCAATTCCCTGAAATAAATGACCTCACACACTATAAACAGTTTGCATACACTAATAGAGAGCCAACACTGGACGTTTCAGTACATTTATTTGTGAACCATCTGGTGGAGCTAAGCTTTGAAACCTTCGAGTAAGACTTTTAAAGCCCTAAAATTATTTGACATCAACACTAGATTTCAGAATTGGATGTAAATAGTTTAAAAATGTCGCAATGAATGCTTCTCAACTCACTAACGTTACGCTTTTATACCAGCTCGCGCTGCTGATACATGCGCTTCGCTTTCATATATTTAATGTGAAGCTACAAATAAATAACACGACACTCTGTCAAACTCTACTAAGTGTTTAAAGCGGAGTGAACGCAAGGGAAACGTGGCACAAAGGAGCGCAGCGCTGCGCTTCTGTCACTCTATCCACCTTATAAAGGGCTGTGGGGAATATTTACAGCTAAAATAATCATCAAGCCAGCTTTAAAAGAGGCTATACAATAATACGGCTCGACCACAACGCATAAAGATATAACGATCGGCGTGATTACGGGGTGATTGTGGATTGAGATGTGCTGTAATAAGGGTTTTCTCCCATCTTACTCACCCCTGCCGCCATCTTCAGGACGAGAGAAAGGAGGAACGGGTCGCGCGGTGCTGACGTAAAGCCAGGCCTGTCGCAGAAATAATACGCAATAAAGACTTGAAAGTGCAAGCTGGACGTGATTTTTCTTCTTTATACATTTGTTTATTTTGTTTGGAAAGTATCAGATTCATGTGAGCAAATGAACTAAAGATAAGCAATACTCAGTGTTGGGAAGGTTACTTTGGAAATGTAATAGGTTGCAGATTACAAGTTACCCTACTTAAAATGTAATAAGTAGTGTAACTAGTTCAATTACTTTATTAAAGTCATGTAACTGATTACATTTGACTTGTAATGTTTTCAGCATTTTTAAACACGTAAAGCAGGCAGGGTGAACCTTAGAGTAGCACTCAGCACTGATTACTGTCACACTTATGAAATCCTTCATCACTTGAATTAAGATTGTATTTCAATTTTAAAGTAGACATCGGATGCAAAATTCACTTTTGCATGGTGTTTGCATATAAATGTATCTTAGCAGTGTGTGGACACAGCCACCCTGCAATGATAAAAATCTATATATTTTTTTTAATCCCCCAAAATCCTAAAGTCTCAATTATCAAGCTGTTTTGATTTTCAAGGCAGGTTTTGTTAAAAAGTTCAAACTCAAGGATAGATCAGTACCCAGTGTTCGTGATCCAGCTGCACCTCCAGAAGAAGTAAGTCTGACACTTTATATTTTTTATGATTATTTGCAAATGGCCTTTGCTCTTCCAGGAAGAAAGGGGCGGGTGAGCAGATATACCCCAAAATGAGTGGCTGTGAACAGAGCAAGGTAAAAAGGGTGTTGTTTTACACGACCACTGAGGAATTTTAACCGAAGTATGTTGCAGACCATTCACAAAGACCCTAAAGAATCATACCAACTTGTGGAAGATCAATGTCCCCTTTGAAGCACAGCCACCACAAAATCAGACTTACTTTGAGATCATTCTGAGGTTAAATACATATTTAAAATCATAACAAGAAATGTTTTATTAGCTATGATGCTGTTTTTGAAATCAAATCTTTACATAGCTATGACAGTAAACACTGGAATCTAACAATGCCTTGGAAAAAAAAACAGTTAATCTTTAAAAAGTGAAGCATAGCTATACATAAACCCATATAGGAAATAAAAGTTATCGAATAAGCATGTTCTAAACTCCTGAAACGTTGGAGTTTCATATTTTAGAGCAGTCACTGCAATTTATGAAAGAAATCAATTAAATCTGTATGTGGGAGTGTGTGTGAAAAAAAGGAAAGGGTTAGTAATCCTTAACATTTTCATAAGTAACTAATTTAATTACACATTTTTTTCTCAGTAACTGTTACTGATTACAATTACTTTTATTTTGTAATTAAATTACATAATTCCGTTACATGTAACTAGTTACTTCCCAACACTGGCAATACTTTAAGCATTTTATAAACCAAATTAAATTATACGGATCTCTTTTGAATGACGCAAGAAGCTAAAAAAGGAAGACGCGTCGTGCACTTCTTTTAATTTATTGTAAATTGTAATTTTCTTGCTCGTTTTTTGGTAACACCCGTTGTTGAAATGTATAGACTCATTTTGATCTTGTTTAATAATAAACGTGTTTTGATTTTTTAGGGAACATCGTGATAGTTTTTGATATTCAGATAGAAGTCTCATTTTGGAATAAATAGAATGAATAGATGGATGGATAGATGAATAGAATATTGTCATTCTAAGTGTTGTTTATAAAGCTTTTTTTTTTTTTTTTCGATCCCACATTGTATTCCAATCTGAGAAAGCACTGAAATAAAATGTAAAGTCCTTTTTTATAAAAAATACAAAATCATCTAATAACAGACTGTCCCTGCTGTACTGTCCAGCAATATCAAAATATTAGCAAAAATCAGCAACGCTCACTGTGTCCTATGTATTACGCCTCTCTTACAAAAGAATCACAGAACAAGCAATAACTAAAACAAAAAAAACAGACGGAGACAAAGTCAAAATTTTGTGAGTGATCGAATAAGCATGTTCTAAACTCCTGAAACGTTGGAGTTTCATATTTTAGAGCAGTCACTGCAATTTATGAAAGAAATCAATTAAATCTGTATGTGGGAGTGTGTGTGAAAAAAAGGAAAGGGTTAGTAATCCTTAACATTTTCATAAGTAACTAATTTAATTACACATTTTTTTCTCAGTAACTGTTACTGATTACAATTACTTTTATTTTGTAATTAAATTACATAATTCCGTTACATGTAACTAGTTACTTCCCAACACTGGCAATACTTTAAGCATTTTATAAACCAAATTAAATTATACGGATCTCTTTTGAATGACGCAAGAAGCTAAAAAAGGAAGACGCGTCGTGCACTTCTTTTAATTTATTGTAAATTGTAATTTTCTTGCTCGTTTTTTGGTAACACCCGTTGTGAAATGTATAGACTCATTTTGATCTTGTTTAATAATAAACGTGTTTTGATTTTTTAGGGAACATCGTGATAGTTTTTGATATTCAGATAGAAGTCTCATTTTGGAATAAATAGAATGAATAGATGGATGGATAGATGAATAGAATATTGTCATTCTAAGTGTTGTTTATAAAGCTTTTTTTTTTTTTTCGATCCCACATTGTATTCCAATCTGAGAAAGCACTGAAATAAAATGTAAAGTCCTTTTTTATAAAAAATACAAAATCATCTAATAACAGACTGTCCCTGCTGTTCTGTCCAGCATCTGCTTTTGTGTGTTCCACTGAATAAGGTCATACAGGTTTTGAACATTAAGGTGGGGGGAAAAAATAGAAAAAACATTTATTAAACATATTTGGCTGATTTAATTACTGGTTCATAATCAATAAGAGCGTAGCAATATCACTTGAACTTTGAGTAAATATTCTGCAAATGATTATTTTTGGGGTGAACTATTCCTTTAAATATTTCAGTAGGCAGTGTGCCACTGTGTGACTGGCATGAAAGAACGTTTGAATTACAAACATTTTTCTGCCAAAGCTGTTGCAATAATAATAATATCGTTTTCAGAGTGGGGTACCAATATCAAAATATTAGCAAAAATCTGCAACGCTCACTGTGTCCTATGTATTACGCCTCTCTTACAAAAGAATCACAGAACAAGCAATAACTAAAACAAAAAAACCAGACGGAGACAAAGTCAAAATTTTGTGAGTGCTGTATTACAAAAGAGAAATATATTCAAGTACAGGCTGGCTGGCATTTACAAAAAGATGTTTAAAAATGACCTCGAGATGAATAACTCTAAAAGCAATGTGATGAATGATACCTTTGACTTTCCATAACATGCTTGTGAATTGCTTTTGCTCACAGGATCTTTCAATATCTGAAGAGTCCAACTGATGATATTTTAATTAAACAATTCAAAGTCTTTTCATCACGTAGAGCTACATGCTCTTCCCATTTAACCTGATGTTGTTCCGCAACTGAACTGGGAAAAACTATGGATATACTACTAACATGGGGATAAAAATAATAAAAAGAGGGGGAAAAAGACAACTTCAAATGAATGGGAAAATAATTACAGTATATACAAACTATTTAGCAACACCACAGCATCAAGTTTCATATGTCTTATATTCTTGGCAGAAGAATCAGCTCACAAGACCTAGAAGAATGAGAATAAAACTCTTAAGACATTAGTTGGATAGTACAAAATAAATTAGACAAAGAATAGACAATACGTTATTGGGGGGGGGACAACATTGAAATAATCTGTTGTGATATTTTAATAATTACAGGTACAACAGTTATTGTTTTCATTACAAGAAAAGAATACATACCCAGGTAGTCATCCATGAGAGATCCAATGGCAAACTAATAAAAAAAGAAACATAATTAAAAACCTTTAGAATTATATCCAAATTGAAATTCTAAAAAATTTTTTTTTTAAAGTGACAGGGATTTACAATATCATTCTTATCCACTCGAGTTCCCAACCTTTTGCCTCTCGCGATAAGTCATGGTGGCAACGGATTTTGGCTATATTTATTCAAAGGAGGCTTTTGCGTGTATCTTTACAGAAGCAGCAAAGAGAGCCGCTTCAGAAACGTGTGTGGCGCTGCTGGAATAAACCATAGACTGTATAAAAACATAAACACAAGCATTGAGTGGCCGCAATCAGCTTCCTAAATGCGAAAAAGTTTTGCGAATGATTCCTTTTTCGCATTGCCTGAAAAACCACCTCATGCGAGCGTAAAAACTTTTTTGCGATATATGGGAGTTTTTGCGAAATTGACGCGTTTCCATTAGGCGCGTATTTTCAATTCGCAGTTTCAATTTGCACAATTTGAAGGGTAATGGAAACGCGGCTAGTGTCGCGTTCCGAACGTTGTTTAAGTGACATACACCGGTATAGCGGTATTTTCAAAATTCATATCATAGCAAAAATAAAAACCGGTATTCGGTATGAACCGGTATACCGCCCAGCACTAAACCACCTATATTTGTGCAAATGAGGACTTGAAGAATTCTCCTCAATAAAACATTTCCTAAAGGTGATTTATTGAGTCTTACCTCATCGACGGTCTTATAACATGGAGGATTTGAGTTTGGGTCAAACTCCATCTCAGAGGGAATAGACTAGACATAACAGAAACACAGATATGAAATGATTACAAGCGTCAATGACTACTATTTACACAGTTTGATATATGAACAACCTACATGACGAGAAATGAAACAAGACATGGGGCCAATTTCTGTAAAGAGTCCAACCTGGGAAAAGAAAGAGAGAAAAACATTGTACTGAGGTCTGAAAAATCAGTCGCAGGGACAGTGAGTTTTATCAAAACCATTTAAAAGATCATTGTGCAAGTACGTTCTTTATACAAGGGCTCTCTCCATGAACTAAGAATGACAATAAGAGCACTAACAGAAGATAAAACGAACCCGTACTTTGTTAACCTGGGTGACGACAGCATCCACAACTTCTCCCTTGAAGGGACGGAACACGATGGCCTTGTATTTGACGGGATACAGCACAAAACCTCTGCCCGGCTGGATAACACCTGCTCCGATATTATCGATTGTGGTTACTGCAATAACAAAGCCATACCTGTGACACAAAAGAGAGACATTTGAGATTCAGATTTCATCATATTCACTGAAAAAAGTCAGATGTCTTGCTTTCTGTCAGACTTACTTCCCCGTGCATGTTCCCTCCACCTCAGTGAACAGCTTCTGTTTGACTGTGTTCAAAAGGTTCGGTCCAAAGTATCGTGGATGCAGGAGAATCTCATGCTCCAAAGAGATCTATTGGGATGGTTATTGAGAAAACAACCATATGTAGTTATACTAAATTCATAACAATCATGACAACAAGTCACAAGAAGGTAAATGCAATTAATGCACGTATCTAGAATACTCTGCATTAACAATTACATTGACTGATTCGTATTTTTATCATATAATATCCATCAATCTCCAAAAAGATTAGATTTAACTAGCTAGCTTTATTACATCCAACATTTTCTAAACCTAGTGAGCGTGCAGGTAACTTAACGTTAGAAGAGACAAAACAGCATCAATGCATATACATGACAAGAACACTTAATGCTACATTTTACACGTAAAATCGAAACAATTACGAACTTACGTGATAAAACATCTCTTAAAAGTTGTTTTTATCTTAAAGAGATCTCGATTTAAATTTTAAAAAGGGGCGAGTGTTGATTTCCGCGTGCTCACGCGCCGCCACCCAAATGCTGCAAGAGCGCTTCCGGGGGACTTTTCAAATTAAAAGTCACGCAATCTCCTAGAAGACTCGATTCAAACAAACATTTATTTGATAAAACTACTATTTCTATTTCTATTTTAGGTATTCAAAAAAAAACGAATTACGTGATTTTGTAATTTTCTAGCAATAAACCTGAGTAAAAATAGGTTTATTTAAACGCCCTTCTGTCATGCTGTGTTTAGGGCCATAAGCATGTTACTTCTTGCTTTATTTCATTTTCATACCATACATTTATTTAATGCAACATTTCATCATTTTATACATTTTTATTAAAAGGTCGCCTGCAAACCATGGGGCACAACTGAATATTATGGGTTTGATTATTGAAATCAGTATAGGTTTTTACTAAATCAGTTCAACAAATTATGTAAAAACTTTTTTGTAAAGTAGCTTACATTAATTGTAAGATACAGTGAAAAAGGTTGAGACCTCTGAGGTGTAAAAAGCCAAAAAAAAATTTTTTTTTGAGGATATCATGTATTTAAAATACTGCTCTGCTAGGTTCATTGTACGTATCCTTAATTTTTTTAACATATTAGTTACTGTCTCACAGCAAAACCTCTTTTTTTTGACGATAGTACCCCCCAAAAAAAGATAACTGGAATATACATATTACAAAACATGGTAGTAACGTTTGCTGTAAAAAAAATAATAATAATAATAATTAAACACAGTGATAATCATTCTAATATCATCTTAACATATGCTAACTGAATTCCATAAGTAAACAGTTATTTTATTGTTCCCAATTAGTTACGATTTTTACACAATTAAAAGTTTGTCTTAAAATCCAACTTTCTCTCAAGACTCGTCTCGAACGCTTCCACACACAATGCAAGGCAAGAACATGACCACAAGAGGTCCCTGCGATTCCAAAGCTACATTGTAGAAACTCTGAAGTTGTTCTGAACACAGTCTATGGTTCTAACGGGACAAGCAGTTTAGTGTCTGGTTTTATGTGAATACTTGCTATGAAGACACAGAGCGAAAATTGTGCCAAGCAACACATTTTTGGCTTTTCATGCTCTTCATTTTGCCATGTCCTTATTAAATCAAGAATGTTTGGCTTCGTTGTAGTATGCTAAGAACAAAACTAAGACATTAATAAACTAAATCAAGTATTATAATAGATAACTGTACTTATCACCATGCATCAAGATCATTGTAACAATACCTTCCATAATAAGCCAGCAATGAAACATGTGACGTGTGAAAGAGGTCCCTTGCCCTAAATGTTATGTGACAAATAAAGCTTATATGTGCAAAAGGTTTCTGAAAGGTATCCTTGCAGTTTTGTTGCTGTTTAGCTTTAATAGCGAGTTTTAAAAGCTTCTTTTCACAAGCAAATAAAAGCAAATGCAGTGGAGTGCTATAGATCAGACTGTCTCACCATTGTTGCTGAGGCAGGTCAGATAGCCGAGGACTGAAGCCATGCATGTTGATGAGCACGGGCAGATGTCCACAAATATCTGAGCATGCTGGATGGGGTTTGCATCATGCACGCTCCAAATCCAAGACGGTCCTTGGGGACTTCTTCGTTTTGTCCACGCCACATTCTTGCAGAGAGCTGGCACTCATCGCAGTAGCCTTGATATTATAAAAGGGTTGCATATGTCATCACAGTCACAAGTTCATGGCCTTCGTGTTGTGGAGACGGTGCCTTCATTTAATCAAAGCCTTCATAGTCCCTCTTTCTATTTCTAGGGAAATTGTGCCATCCCTATAAATCAACCCATATAGCAATGCATCAGGTGCTTTGAAGTGCAAGTCAGAAAATATTTTGCAGATATTAAGTCATTTTGGACAACAGATATTAAGATATACTTAAATATCACATATTAATGGTATATAAAAGCACAAATCCATGCTGAAAATCTAAATTATAAAGAGGTCTGCATGAGAAGGAATATTGCACCTGTTCTCCAGTGAAGCTGTACTGACTGAGAATCTATTATCATTCGATTGCAAAGAAAAATAACAACTGTGCTGTGAAACGTAGCATTAGAAATGCAATTTCCTCTAGGTTGCTTAAAGTAACAGCAAACTGCTGCAGTGCTAGCATCCTCTCTTTTGTCATTTAAGGTATTTTTGGCTATTAAATGTAGTTTGGCATATTATATTTATGTTTATTGCTGAGAATAACACTGACGTTGTATTTAATCACTTTTTGCAAAAGAGAAGCTAATTTTGCTTTTAAAAGAACCACAGCTACATATGCACAAATAATAAATGAATAAAATACATGATTTTATCAAATATGTTATTATATGCAACACAGAAGTGAATTCTGCTTTCAAAGGAAACTAAATAAATAAATTCATGAAATATATATATAATCATAATATTATTACTTTTATAAATACATCAACAAATCAGTGTAAATGTATAGTAATTTCTGAGCCAAATGCACATGCATAAATAATAAATTAATAATTCTTTTAAGATATTATTGTAATAAATGTAATCCCTTTCTGCAACACAGAAGTACATTTAGATTTTAAAGGAAACAAAATAAATAAATAAATAAAATATGTTATTTTATGAAATATATCATTGTAATTCTTTCTTTTATAAACACGTCAACAAATTATTGTAAATGCATAAAAAAAATTCTGCTTTCAAAATAAACAAATACATAACGCATAAATAAATATATAAAATATAAATTGCTTTAAAAAAGAAAAATATATATTATTACAGTATAATTAAATATTTTAATCACTTTATGCAACACCGAAGTAAGTTCTGCTTTCAAAGGAAACAAGTACATAATGCAAAACTCTAATATACCTTTTTTCTTTTGCTTTTTTTCTTAATTTTTTGTGACTGATTTATACAAAGGAAATATTATACACTGTGAAAAAAGTGGTGACCTGCAACTGATACCTTAATTTCGACTTGATTTAACCCATAAAATGTCGTTTTGTTGGTATAATGTATTGAGGTTGGTTTAGTGATATTAAATAATATTTTAGACTTGAATAAAACTTAGATGTTATCATTTTTAGGTGTAATTTTTTAACAACTATGTGAAAGAAACTAAACATTTCTAAGCAAACCTACCACACTTTTTTTAAATAAAATTAATTTTGTGGCGCTTTTGTTTTTTGAGAGCAAAGCCATAGTTTCTCCAGTGTTGATCTGAGTGCTCTCAGAGCTGAAGGAAAGAAAGCCCTGTTCCTGAGCTTCAGCGCACTACTTTCCTTCCCCCTCTCCCCCTGCTCTCGCCAAAGGTAGCTTTCAGATGCAAAATAAGCAGACATATGGAGAGGAGGTCTTTCTCCAGCCCTCCTAAAGATTCAGATTGTATGACAAATCACGTCCACCACCACCCTCCCAACCCCACTCAGAATCTCCAGACAACAGCTTCATTAGAGTGAAAGAAGGAGTTTTTGCAGCTTTGTCGAGTCAAGCTCAGACTTCTTTCCCTTCTCAATTACTCCATTGTTGGCGAGAGATTCAAGTTATTGCACTCAACCCCATATGGCTGATTTGAACACCTACAAGTGATGCCATCAACTCAACCTATGTTTCTGGGGGACATTACATGTAGAAACAGAAATCCAAAAATCGTCAAAAAATGGATATTGCTGCAAAAAAAAGAAAGAAAGACAGTCGGTCTGCTAAGCGAAAAGTCTAATGCATGGAACAGTCTGGTGAGGTCAGGTGTATGAATTTATCATTAGTCAGGGAATGGCTGTATACTTCCTCTGAAATAAAATAAGTTTATATATATATATATATATATATGTTTCAGGTGTATTTGGCAAACAAATAGGTTAATTTACATATATATATTTAAAATATAGGAATGTAATGTTTCTGAAATGCAGCTTTTAGTTATCCTAAATGCATTTCAGACAAAGGACACATGCCACTCTAAACATCTAAATCATAATAAAAACATTAAATGTAAATGATACTGTTGTTGCTGTTGCTGTTATTTTCAGTGAAATAAAAACACAAAAATTCCTTTTGTAAATTACTAGTATAATATAATACCTAATATTGTTTAATAAATGTTTTATGTATATTTTAAACGTAATCAAATACAAATATTCATTGTGTAAATGAATAATATAATATAATACAATGTAATATCATATTGTTTTTGATGTTTAAAAATATTTTATGTATTTTAAATTAATCAAATGCAAAACATCATTTTGTAAAGTAATTCATATTATAAATCACTGCATACTAACTTAGACATTCTTGACAAAGTATGGCAACTTTTGAATTTTGCTTGTAAATACAGCACAAAATGCAGTAGCTAACAGCCCAGTTATTGAAGAAAAAAAAGGAATTTGGATGAATGAATGTTTACATAGCTTAATAAATGTAAAAGAAAGAAAGAAAGAAAGAAAGAGTTGACATTGGAAAAATTAATGATATTTATTTGCACAAAATGTACTGCAGTTAATGGCAAAATAAATAAATAAGTGGAGATTTGATTCAAGTTCCAAGACTATTAGAACAGGGAGTGAGTGTCTTTAAACATTGTAACCCTAGAATTTATTTTCAGTCTCTTAAGGCCTTCTCGAGGCCGTGGGGGTGATTTTCTTATTTGGGGTGTGGTATCCCCGTACAATTGAAGCACTGGAGTAAGGAATTAATTATCATTCAAAAGTAATGGCCCTATTCTGCCCTGCTTGAATTCTGAAGAAGGAGAAAGGATCCTCTGGCCCCGATCCTGCCGCAGCGCCAGGGGAAAGGATTATTCCGGGGATTACCATGTGAAAACTTCTATCAGACTTTCTGACTCAAAGATCTTTTGCGAACAGTAATCGCGTTAATACCCGGGGATTAATGCTGGGCCGAATGCAAAATTGAATTTTAATTCGAATTGCATAAACAGATATAAAATAAATTAAAAGACCATTCTCCAGGAGAATAAAGAGAGTTCTGCGCCTCACACGTCTCATGCCAATCCAAGAGCAATGCACCTTTGGCACACCTGCCATGCAAATCTTGCGCGTTTTAATGCTGCTCGCTTTTTAATGTTGCAATAGCCATTGTGCATTGAAATATCACGTCTATTCAGCTCGCATATTTCACTTTACTCGCAGCAAACCCTCAACCACGTGCGTTGCGTTGCTTTCTTTTCTTAAAATGTGCAGTGTGCACGATTGTTTCGGGGTCCAGATCAGACCCGCTTTTTAGTAATTCAGTTGTTTCATTTTCTCACGTGTTTCTGCCATTGAAATGCAATCAGGTCTCGTGCACTTGTGCCTAATCCTGTCAAAATCTCCTTGGCAACATCTCTCAGCTGTGGGCAAAGCCCTTCTTCCTCCCCACCTCCCCTTTCTAGGGAGAAAAGAAAAAAAAGCCACTGACACATCCATCACTTCTGTGGAAATAAGTCATGTTAAGTAACATTGTAAAACAATAACTTTTTTATGACTTTATAAGAGCAATAAGTGCCAGGTCCAGATCGCTAATGCTCTGACTGGAAGCAAAATAGTCATTCAAGCTGTTTTCCCTCTTTGAAGTTATTACTGACAGGTTGGTGTTGTAATAGTAAAAATCGATCTCCCCCATCACCCCAGTCTGGACCTCCATCAGAGGGGTTTTAAAACCAATGCATTCGCCATAAAAGCGTAAACAGGTCAAGAAAGAGGCATATAATGCATTACATATAGCTAACAAATGTGAATACAAATAAATATTTAAATATCGTCTACTGTTTATAATCAAAGCACGTTCCGATGAGTCTCTCAAAAGTTTTAGGAGTCCATGTGAGTTTACGCATCCAAAAGTATGCGTCTAGTCCACTTGTGCTTCACTTCATGCCAGCGAAAGCACAAACGTGCCTCAGAAGCGGGGTGTTTTTGTTCACGCTGGGACTATTTGAATAAGAATAATGCTATTGGAGTGTCGCAGGCCGAGAAAAATGAGTGACAAAAGCTCAGAGGCGCAGAATTTGGACGGGGGACAAGCCGTATAGAGCTGAAAAGAAGAGAGAGGAGAGGCGCACAATGGAACAATTCACCTTATAATCGCTTTGATATATCATACATGCCTGAAGACTCTAAACATTGTGTAATTATTTATAAATGACTGTGCCCCTATCGCCATAATACCGCACGGAGAAAAGCGCCGCAGGTCTCTCCCCAAACTATTTCTAAATAGTGCCCCTTCATTTTTTTTTCCCAAAGAGGGGCGAGTTGCTTGCAATTGAATAAATTGAATAATTAATGAACAATTGTATGGCTGTCTCATAAAGATGTCTTTAAATAAAACTTAAGGCACTGGGCACAGTGGAGCAGTTTGATTGAACTGCATCTTTCACCTTGTGAGCTATAACTCAAGATGCGCGCTGCATGCAGGGTGAATAAAGTGAAATATACAGCAGAAAAAGCTTATTTTAATGGGAACATATTGCAATTAAAAGAATAATATTGTATTATTAAAAAACCCACATCATTTTAATGTGAAATATGAAAAAGTACAACACTGTGCATTAAAGCAATGCCTACTTTTATGATCAAATATGGTTTACGGTTTTTGTTTTTGTCGTTAAATTAATGAACAGATATATTTCATTTTCCAGAACGCTTTGCCCAAACCAGCTTAACTTCAGTTTACATTTCTGTTCTTAATACATTGTTTATTATGTACATATTTTGTGTTTGCATGCATGTTGTATATTGCTCAGTATAAAATAGTTTAGTGTTTTATTTGTGTGGGTAAAACTGTGCTCTGTGCCGAGAGGCAAATTCTGATCAACTTTATCATATGTTGACATTTCTTATATTCTGTACAAGATTTTTAAAACTCGAATAGGTTGGTATATTAATATATAATGACATAAACCGTTAGGTAACATCATCTACGTTGAGTAAAGTAGCCTACACTTAAAAACAATAGCGTTTTGCAAACTACAAAAAAAGTGTGTATGTCGAAGTATCAAAATATAAGCTACAAATAATAGATAGCACGTTGGACCTTGTATTAATTGTGTGGAATAAAAAATGTGTTTTTAAAAAGTCACATTTATAATCTTGCATCAAACCGAAACAATTGTGTATATCTTTATAGAATAACACAAATGATTTGCTTAGCGCACAAAACACAATAGATAAATGTGAAGAAAAAAATACAAATAAAAACTTGTCTTCTAGCCTCGGGCCACTCCGTGTTGTCTCTTCTTTTCAATTTCCTCTAGAGATTTAAGTTAAAGTGGGCTTGGTGCATGCTGGACAGATAGCAACAGCTCTGCTCGCGTGGCTGGCCAGCTCTCCGGCTCTCTGATTGGCCAGCGGTGATTACGGGCACGCTTCAGAGGGCGAACAAACAACAGGCATAAACTATGCTAATGAGATGGTCGTGCGGCACGGGGCAGACCTGATGCAAACCATTCATTCATCCTTCACAAAAATGCCAAAGCGAGGGGGGTACGTCCATTGTCTCACCAGGGTATATAAGGTAGGTGAGGCCAGTCGTGTGCCAAGCTCACAAGCTCGCACGAGCTGATTGAGGGGTAAGAACAAGACAGACGCGTGCCTTAAACTTCAACACAAACTATCTGCAGGACTCTGCAAGACCTCAAACACCCAGTTTCATCTCCCAGCCCACATAAGGTGTGTATTGGCAGGACCAAGCACCCTCAGTGCTGCGCGCAGAGAACTTGGAATGGTTTTCTGAGCTTGTTTTTGGCGTATTCCTAACTTGAATCTTGCTATTTCTCCAGGTTACCAATAATGGAGACTGTCTACTCCGACATGGACACCTCAAGCTGCGACTACTCCTTTACGCACACGGATGATGAGGACTCACGCAGCAGCCTCCACTCCGCGTCCCCCGCGTCCTCCTGCGGCAAGCCGTCTGCGTCTCCAGCCGAGCTCCAGCAGAAAAAGAGGCGCAGGGGGCGCGCCAGGAACGAAGCCACCGTGCATGTCGTGAAGAAGAACCGCCGGGTGAAGGCCAACGACCGCGAGAGGAACAGAATGCACAACCTCAACGACGCCTTGGATGCTTTGAGAAGCGTGCTGCCTGCCTTTCCCGACGACACGAAGCTGACCAAAATCGAGACTCTGCGCTTCGCTCACAACTACATCTGGGCGCTTTCCGAGACCATCCGGATCGCAGACCAGCGGCAGAGCAAACCCAGAGACCCCGCGCTGCTGCTCCCAGGACTAAGCTGCATGGGAGATGCGCCCAGCCCCGGCGGTGACTCTTGCTCCTGGCCATCCGGCACATCCTCCTCGTCTTCATCCCCGTCTTACTGCAATTCAGACACGGGCAGCCCCGCAGCCATGGACGATTTTGGATACCTGCAGACCGATGTAGTTTACAGCTACCACAACTTCGTGCCTAGCATCTATTAATGTGACTCGAGCGTTCTCATGTCTGTATAGAGTCTGCTGAAGCGTGTAGTATAAAACCAGAGGACTTTGCTCTTACTTTTCTAATAGAACCAAGAGCACAACGTTAGCTATTCACTGTTTGCCTTAACGACAGTTCACAGATGAGAATGTTCTTATTTTTGTACGTTTTGTTACCGATATTGACGCCTTTTCCGATATCTTTGCACTTTTGCGCATTCTTTGGAGCATGACCTTAACGCCTGTTAGAGAAAATTATCATTTAAAGCAAGACTGATTGGCCTTTGCAGTCCAAGGTGAAAAGTCAATATTACAATTTGTAGAGCGATAAAGCAGAAAAACGAGCGTGAAAATTCAGTTTCAACGCTGTGACAATAGACTGAATGAATGGACAAGACAAAGATCTGGCCTTATGCATTATGTATTTTGACCCGAAGAAACCTCTCCTGTCTGGCTGATCCGTATACAGTTACGACTGCTTTCCCACCACTTTCTGTTTGTTTTATTTATTCAACCTGTTGCTTTCATGCTACTGTATTTTTATTGTATATAAAGAGATTTATTCTATTATGTATTTACCTCAAAATATAAATCTGGTGCAAGCGTGTTTGTACGAATAAATATAACGTTTTCTACAAAAAAAAATTCTGTGCTTGCTTCTTTGCTTCGTAATGTGACTCTGAGATGCATAAACAACTCATAGCAATGTCTGACAACATAATGGGCATCATTGTAATGAGCGCAGCCATTGAAGCGTCACTCTGGGTCACAGCGCATAAAATAACGGTTATGCAGCAGGTGCATGGATATAGATCAGAGATACAGAGTCGACGCGTCATCTAATCTGTCAAGCAAATTGCTTATGCATATTATACACACGATTGCGCTCGATTACATCAAACCCTCGGGGTGAGTTTTAGTCATCTCAAAAATAAAAACATCAACTAGCTCTAATGTGCACAGTGTAAATCTTTATTGTTACAAGTGTACTGTTTCAAAGTTCCTATCTGCAGCCTTTATGAAAGTATATTATGAAAACGTACGATACCAACCTATTTGAGGTCTGTTACATTGAATGTATGAATAATAACACAGGTGGATAACTGAAGGCCACGTGCTGACTTAAAGTTCACCAAAACTGGCCTCACGAGCAACTGTGGCAAAAAATAAAAAACATAATGCAATAAATATGGCACTAAAACAACTCTATACGCATCAATAAATAAATGAAATATTTAAAATGATTAAAAATAACCAATTCATACTTAGTGCTTACTACTTTAAGTAGATTTTAGAAATATATAAATGTAGCCTACCTTAAAATTATAACTATTTCCTTGTTAAAGATTTTATCAATCAATTAAAAGGTCATTCATAGCCTACTATTGTAAAATCCCGTTTTTATGATACTGTAGCCTATATTAGCCTAAATGACATTTGTTGTCTTATAAAACACAGTTTGATAACAGTAAGTCAACAAGCATTTACTTTTTGGCAGTTTTACATCACTTTCTAAACCTTTCAACGATAGAAATTCCTAAAACGCCAGTTCATTCACGCTAATCTGCGAGTTCAGATACTAATCAACAGATGTACGAGCATTCCTTAATCCATTACGCCATTGTTTATATAAATAATAATACAAATGATTATAGAATTATACAAATGATAGAAATATATTCTGCTTATCTTTGGAACTCGTGCAGACAAGCCTACATCCAATTTGGCTTCCTGAGAGTTTTTAATCCGTGCACGTTGTGTATGTGTGGATCAGTTGATTTCTGAAGGGGTTCAGGTTAAATCCTCTATTTGGGAGTTCCGCATGAGGTCCAGCCAAGGCTCTTGTATCTGCACGTGTCGGGGATAGAACAGTATAATAGCGCGAGCTGAAAGCGATTTTAAAAAATATATAAATGTAGCCTACCTTAAAATGATAACTATTTCCTTGTTAAAGATTTGATCAATCAATTAAAAGGTCATTCATAGCCTACTATTGTAAAATCCCGTTTTTATGATACTGTAGCCTATATTAGCCTAAATGACATTTGTTGTCTTATAAAACACAGTTTGATAACAGTAAGTCAACAAGCATTTACTTTTTGGCAGTTTTACATCATTTTCTACACCTTTCAACGATAGAAATTCCTAAAACGCCAGTTCATTCACGCTAATCTGCGAGTTCAGATACTAATCAACAGATGTACGAGCATTCCTTAATCCATTACGCCATTGTTTATATAAATAATAATACAAATGATTATAGAATTATACAAATGATAGAAATATATTCTGCTTATCTTTGGAACTCGTGCAGACAAGCCTACATCCAATTTGGCTTCCTGAGAGTTTTTAATCCGTGCACGTTGTGTATGTGTGGATCAGTTGATTTCTGAAGGGGTTCAGGTTAAATCCTCTATTTGGGAGTTCCGCATGAGGTCCAGCCAAGGCTCTTGTATCTGCACGTGTCGGGGATAGAACAGTATAATAGCGCGAGCTGAAAGCCTCAGGGAAGGGCGCATGCCAGCTGAAACGAGAAAAAGGGGCACAGGCATGATGTTTATCACCCTCTCAAGAAGTTCATTTTACAGACCTTCACCGCACATCAAACATCCACGCGGAGTCGTGTGGCTCATTCACAAAAGTAATAATCTGCAATGGACTTCAAAGTAGCCCTACTGCGCCTTTTCCTCCACAATTTATGTCTGCATTGACATTATGACTACATTTCTTTGTTCTCAATCACAGCGGCAGAAGCTTTAAACTGCTGCTCTCAGAAATGCACCTGCGGTCTCTTCTTTATTATCCACAACTAGGCATATGAAGTGCATATTATCATATTAGCAAGTGCCAATATTTTGGAATTCCTGATTTAAACATGCTATTCAGGAAGCACAAACAGAAGACAATTTTGATTTCAAATTTTCAAATTTTCTTGATGGCTAAATTGGTTGATGGTTCATATATTTGTATTTTAGAACATTTATCAAAGAATATATCAAAGATAAAAGAAAAGCTTATACAGATGAGTGCTATTCCCCTCTCTCCCCCTTCCCTTAGGGCTGAAAGCCTGTATCAGTGCAGAAGGGCTCACTCGGGTCACAGGTCACTCAGGGGCAGGAGACCCCTCACCTCCCAAGGAGATGGCCTCCCATGTCAACGACCACAAAAACATCAAAACAGCCTTCATGTTTGTACAGCCTTTTGCACACAGCTACATATCGCAGCCCTTCAGAGACAGACAGTATGCCTTGGGAGCTACATATACTTGACCTCACTTCTGTCCGAAATATCACGTGTATCACATCAGTGAAAAGTGATTGAAAAGATGGAGAGCTAGTTTAGCTGAACGTAAAGAAAGGGGAAAAAATGGTTCCGTCTCAAGATTCCTTCACATAGGCAGTGAAGTAACAGAGTAAAATGCATGTAATTCTTTAGCTTTTAAGCATGTTTTGAGTACTTTTTAAGTCTGGTTGTATAATAACATAAGATTAGAAATGTTATGATATTTGATAATGTATTACAATGACGTCAGATTGTATTTTTTCTAATAATCTGCTTGCATCTCTGAGACTTTTTTTCTATTTTGAGAAGTTTTCATGTATTTTCAGGTTACAATAGAAAAGATTAAATAAATGCATTGGGTACAATTTATTAGTTAGAAGGTTTTGCATTCATTGTATGCATATCATTAATATGTTTGTTGACTATGAACACTCCCTTGATGCTTTCATTTTTTCTTGTGACTCAGATTTAATCTGATATAGGTGTTTATAAGGTCGCCGTGATTTTCCCAAGTAAGACATGTTCCTGTATCAACATCTTTTGTTGATCCTGGATCAACATTACTGTCCAAAAATACAGACTTAACCCAATCCCTACCCCTAAACCTAACCTTACCCATAATTTATTCCTAAAATCAGAGGGAAATGATAGCTGATTAACAAGGGTGTAGAAGCACCTAATCCTGATTATAAGCCTAAAACTGACATTTCCTGAAAAGTTATCTCTCAATTCTGATTGGTTGATTGGAATGATGTTCCAGGATCAACAAGGATGCTGATCCAGGAACATGTTGTACTTGGTCAAATCCCGCTCACCGTATTTATAAAGAGTACTTCAACATTTTGGCATCTGTCTTGTCGCTAAAGCTCAAGACTGAGGAAGCATCACTGAGAGGAGAAAATCGGCCCGACAGCAGGAGGAGAAAGAATCGGCAGAAGATGGACGAGGCTCTTCAGTGGAAGCTTGCAGAGACCCCAGAGAGTCATATGAAGGCACAAAAAGCTCAAAGCAAGGGCCAATTAAACGATAACTGCCAGTTAATGACAAACAGAAAGTGGAGAAGAACTCGGGAAGGAGATTAGAGACAGCCTAGGGGGCCAAAACTAAAAAGATCATGATCATATCATAAAGCGTGATGGAAATACAGTATTAGATTACATGAAATGTGACATTTTTAATAAAAAGAATAGCAAATGAATTGCGTTCTATATGATGGGAGGAGATATTTAAATCAAGAAATTTGAGCTCAGAAGAGTGTATGCAGAAATATCTAATAATACTGAAATACTACATAAATATAAAAAACTATATAAATGGTAATATAATGACAATAAATACAAATAAGTATAATAATGATAATAATAAATAAAAAAATTCATGTTATTTAAATATTATTATTAATAAATCTCCCTGCCCTCCTTCTTTCTTTCTCTCTCTCGTTATTATTATTAAAATAATATTATTAATAAAGTCTTCCTATATATGCATTAGTTGCTGTTCATTTGTTTTAATTTGAATTCAAATTTGTTTATTTTTACAGTTTATGTTGATCGCTTTGGTACTAATTTCACAAGTATGTGGTAAAACCTCACAACTGTTAATACAAAACTCAAAGCAGATCATCAGAAAAGCTGTTTTTTCAAACATGTAATCACATGTTCAATTGACTAAGTACAAGACACAAAATTACACATTAACTTTTTCACCACACCTAATCAGTG